AAACCCTCTGCACATATCTTCCTTCAGTAACCAATAATATTAAGTTATGTATGCTCAGATGTTTAACATGTCTCTAACGGAGTTAGGTGACATCTTTGTCCACAGAAGCTTCGGTCCAGTAGTGTCAAATTTCTGGCACACCGAAGTTATCCCCGTATATCCATGTGCCTGATTTTACCTAACAACTTTTGAACCAAATTACCACTTTTTACTAAACTTAACACGCACATTGTACGTTTGAAGGTCACTCCACTTCTGTTGGCCTACATTTTATTCCCAAAATTTCTTGAGAAGCTTATAATGGATCATGTAGTCAATAAATTTCATTTAATGCCGATATTTTAATGAAACATTAGATATATGTTATTTGAAATAGATCATAAGAATGCCTACAAATTTTATGTAAACGTTTCCATACAAATACAAAAATTTCAACGTTGCTAAACTTTGAGTTCATATCTGGAAAATGTAAAGTTGTTTGTATTTACTTAACGTAAATATGAAGAGCATTGGATCACTAAATTGTGCAACTACTGATTTATAGTTCCTGATAATATTTAAGAATTCTGTCCGCATATCAAAGAAAACAGAGCACTCCTCTATTACAAAAATCAACTCGTTAAAGTTGTTTAAGAAGACAATACCTACTTGCACTGCGAATCATATAAAGCACATGGGTTAAATACAAAACGCAGATTTACTGATTATAAAAGAGCGTGGAGATTTTCAGTTCGTAGTTGTTACTGGACTTTTAAGGGGCTAATGGAACATTTGACTTCTTAACTTACGTACTTCGAGTGGAACGAAGCGTTAAGTATACATTTGCATTACTTGGTTTCATATACAATTTCTGATATACTTATCTGAAGGCAACTGTGTCTGTGACGTAACGTGCGCGCACCTACCTACGAGAGTGATAAGGTACGTGGAAACTTACAGGCCGAAACATGCATGTGAATTGGGACATTCTTTACAGCTTTAGCACCCAACAACACTCGCCGATTGATATGGTGTCAACACATATGTTTCATGCCAGTCATGGTTTATACAGGCTAAGCTCCGAATGTTCGCAAATTTGTTTTACCCTATTTAACAACGCTGTTTAAACCATAAAGGTCACATACCACTGACTGATCATAAACAGAAAGTAACGATTTGGAACTGTAGATTCGTGGCCTATTCTAGAGTAGTCACAAAGTTCTGTTATCATCCTACTGAGGCAGGGATGGAAGTCACATAGCTTTAGACGCGACAGTTGGAAAAATGGCGGAGGTTAGAACCCCGTGGTCTCACAGTAGACGCCCACGGAATTAACATTATACAAACCTGTTAAGGTGGCGACTGACTTGTAACATTTACTCGTAATGTAACATTCGCGGCGAGCATGTTACATTACACCACAACTGGTGAGGCGCATCGAATGCTCGTTTTGAACGCTCGGCTCGACTGTGCTCATGTGTGCTCCATTCATTTCATTCAATATGTCGGACGTGGAGGTTGTGTTATCTTTGTTTCATTTAATACGCTACTCTTATCTAAAGAACTCGTGAATGCTCGTTACGACGCCGCTCGACTGACTGACTGACTTGTAATGTAACACTCAAAGGGATTCGCGAAAAAACCGACAACACGATGGAGCGCCCGCGAGCGTGAGCAGCTCGCATCGAGCGGCTCCGTTCGCTGTCTTCACTTGTGTAATGCTCGATTTGTAACACGTTACATTACAGGCAAATGTTACAAGTCAGTCGCCACCTTTAGATCCCAACGCGAACATGCACTCTCCTTGGTATGATTTCTACGTAAATATGGCTGTTTATGTGAAAGAGAAGTGAACAGGCAGACAGAGAAATTCAAAACAGCATTCCGAAAAGACTATGACGTACATGGGAGGATAGTATTAAAATGAATAGTAGACATGAACATTCCTTATAAGCGAGATTTTTCAAGGAAACGTGTTGAGAAAATAAGGTTCATTCAATTTATAAAGATATCGAAAGCTTCTCTCCGTCTCCATAGATCTGGACATACGAGGTGCGATCGGAAAGTTTCAAGACTGTGTCAATAGAGGGCGAACCGGATGTAGTACAAGCTTCTGCCGCTAGGGGGTGCGGCCTACATTCATAGTGAATCAGTGTGCCAGCCGGCATCATCGAATTAGCATTTGTTTCTTAGTTACGGGCGTTTTGGTAGTGCATTACACCGACCCTCCTGCGATTTCGGAATGGCGTGTGCATCAAATTTTGCCAAAGACTCGCCAAAACGGCTACGGAAACCTATGAAATCCTAAAGCAAGCATTTGGGGAGTCCGCAAACTTTTGTGTGGCATTCACGTTTTAAAAATGACCGAACCTCTGTCGATGATG